ACACTGGCTACTCTGCCGATAATACCACCAAAGAGGCCAACAGTGATGGGGGTCTTTGTGCCTGGCCGCTAGGAAATGGGTGAGAGCCACCCAGGGCATCGAAACAGACCCACACTCGGGCTTAGCAGAGTGGCTGCTGTTTTGTTATTTTTCCGGTTAAGAAAACGGACGAGCATTGAACGGTTTCATCGCTGTATGATGTGGTAGAAGTTCATTGCCATGCCTTGAGTGCACGGCTGTGACTACACTGTGTGCCCCAACCACTGAGAACATACCAGTGACCCCACCGATCAAACTCCAAAGCCCCCTCCTGCAAAAGACAGCCCTCCACCTGAGCAACCAGAAAATCTCCCTCAGCTGTAGCAGTGTAGAGCCTATGAAACACAGGTAGGCAGTTCTGATTCTACCCTGTAGAGGGCAGGGGCGCACCAGCCAGCCAGAGCGCGTCTGTATGATTATTGAGGGCTCCTCCATTTGCATTACAGGGCTCCCTCCTCACAGCTCCTTTTGAAGTGAAGCTGAGAGTCCCGTTCTCACAGCCCTGATCCAGGTCCAGAGCAGTTCCCGAGACACCCTGGCACACAAACATGGGCAGCCTTGACGCCCACACGCTTTTCACCCGCTGGATTTGCCAACGATTCACAATGACACCACTTACCGTGGCACAGAAAAGAACTCGGAGCATCAAACCACCAACCGTAACCAGACCCTCCCCTCTCGCTTCTGGGGCCCAGATCCCCCAGCACCAGCCCCCTACTGGGTGGGATCGGAACTGCCCAACTGCAAGTCATGTGCCCTAGACTGCTAAGGGCTAAGTGGAGATTCTCTCCTTTACTGCAAGGGGGGAGGGAGGAGAAATGTCTGTTGGAAAAAGAGAATCTGAGCTCTACTCCTGCCCAGCTGTGTGTGTGTGAAGAAGATTTCCAACCATCAGAGGAGGGAGGCTCTGGCCTAGCCTCCCAATAGGGTAGTGGGGGCAAACAACCTGATGAGTTTAAAAGTGGAGCTTGATACGTTTTTGAACGGGATTATAGGAAGGGGTCGTCTGCAATAATTGGGACTGGGCTCAGTGTCCTTTGTCCTCTGAAAGAGCAGACTGAGTGTGGCAAGAAAGTAAGCCAGGGTCTGGGGAGCCAAGTTATTTAAAAACAAGAAAGTTAGGGGTAATAACATTTCA